CNGCNCGCCGCCGCGCCGCGCGATCGATCGCGCCGCGGCGCCGCGGTCTCGAGCGACGATGATCTATCTGTCCGTCCACGCGGGCAGCGCGCGACTGGCGAGACGGGGTCGGGGTCGGGCGCGCACCTCGCGACCGGCTGCGCGCGCACAGCCTTCACCGCCACGGAGCGCTTCACTGCGGAGGGAGAGACGACGGAGGAGGTGACGTCAGCGATCGGGACGCGATCGAGCGACGCGACGCGCCGCGACGCGCCGCGGCGAGGGCGAGAAGGTTATCGAGTCTCGAGAGGCACAGATTTATTTTTTCGACGGATCGATCGATGGACGCGCGCGCACCGGGAAGCGCGACGGCCTTCTTGGCGGACAGCGAGCGGACCGCGACCTTGGAGGGCGCGGCGACGGCGAAGTTGGAGGCGACGATGGCGGCCATTTTGCTAGCGTTGAGGTGGTATTAACGTGCGGTTAACGGGTGCTTGAATGACGGCCCGCGAGCGATGCGCGCGAGTAAAAACAGTATCGACGCGCGCAGAAGGGGCCAATCAGAGGTGAGATCGCGCCCGGATCGAGTTGACTCGGAAACGACGAGTCATCCGCGCGCGTTGAAACGACCGACCGCGAAAATTCGTCCCGTCGCCGCGCGTTCAAAACGACGTCGCCAGCCCCCAGATTCGCGCGCGCCGGTCGACGCGATGGCCGCGCACGCGACGGACGCCGTCGTCGCGGCCGCGTCCGCGCGCGGCGACGACGCGGCGGGGAAGGGAGTCGACGCGGACGCGGACGCGACGACGACGGCGCCGTCGCCGAATCCGCCTCCGCCTCCGAAGACGACCACCTCCGCCCATGGCGCCATCCGCGCCATCGCCCCCGACGCGGTGCACCGCATCTGCAGCGGGCAGGTCGTCCTCGACCTCGCGTCCGCGGTGAAGGAGCTCGTGGAGAACGCGCTCGACGCGGGCGCGACGAACGTCGAGGTGCGCGTCCGAGAGCACGGCGTGGAGTGCGTCGAGGTCGTGGACAACGGCGCGGGCGTCTCCGAGGAAAACTTCGCGGCGCTGACGACAAAGTACGCGACGTCGAAGATCGCCGCGTTCGACGACCTCGCGTCGCTGCGATCGTTCGGGTTCAGAGGCGAGGCGCTGTCGTCCCTGTGCGCGATGTCGACGCTGGTCGTGACGACGAAGACGAAGGACGACGACGCGGGGAGTCGGATCGAGTACGACCGCTCGGGGATGATCGTTCGCGTCGAAACCGTCGCGAGGGCGACGGGGACGACGGTGACGCTCCGCGACGTCTTCGCGCCGCTCCCGGTGCGAAGGAAAGAGTTCGTTCGTAACGCGAAGCGCGAGTACGCGAAGCTCCTGAGGCTGCTGCAGGCGTACGCGATGATAAGCGCGGGGGTGAGGATCGTGTGTTCGCATCAACGCGCCGAGGGCGTCCGCGGCGGCGGAAACGGCGGCGGCAGGGAAACCGTCGTCAACACGCGGGGGGGCGTCCACGCCGACGTGCGCTCGAACGTCGCGTGCGTGTTCGGCGCCAAGGCGGTGCAGGGTCTGACGCCCGTGGACGCGGTGCTGGGTGCCGACTTGGGGTGCCGAGTCGTCGGGCTCGTGTCCAAGGCGCAGGCGGAGTGCGGGCGCGCCGGCGGCGACCGGCAATTTTTTTACGTCAACGGGAGACCGGTGGACCTCCCCAAGGCGACGAAGGCGCTGAACGAGACGTACCGCGCGCAGTTCAGCGTCGCGATAACGCGCGCGCCGTTCGCGGTGCTGGACTTTCGGCTGCCCACGAACGCGTACGACGTGAACGTCACCCCGGACAAGCGCGAGGTGTTGCTGCACAGCGAGAAAGAGATCATGGCCGAGTTAAGGCGCGTCCTCCTCACACTGGTCTCCATACTACCGCGTCGGCGCGGTGAACGCCGATACTTAAGGACTTCATCTCCCGGCGCATCTCTCCGCCCGCCCCTCGCGTTCAATCCCGACACACCTCGGCGCATTTCAACTCCGCTTCTGACGCCTTTCAACTCCACCCCGATATCATCGCTTTGTATGGAACGACCCTCAGAGCCGCGTTGGAGCGGACGTGGGCTCCGGCCAAGTACACGTACGCGGTCGGCGGCGGGACGTGCCTCCTCGGGGACGGCGGCGTCGGCGGCGTGGAGACGACGACGACGACGACGACGGGCGGCGGCGTGAAGGCGGAGCCGATGGGGGATCCTCAGAGTCG